AAAAAAAAAATCACATTTTTTGTTTTTTTAAATAGAGCTGGAGGAGGAAGGGATGCTCACCTGTTATACATGTATAGCAGTGGTACCAACTTTTGGACTAACAGACCACTGTTAGCCTCAAAAATCTCTCTCAGGGGCTACTGTACACCTTCCAAGGAGACTCCAACATCTTTAGGCAACTTGTTCCAGACAGTAACCATCCTCACAGAGTTCCTGCCCTGCAATTTAAGACCATTACTTCCTGTCCTGTCTCCTATGGCCACACAGAACAGTCAGTCCCACCCTTCATGCATTTGAAGACTTACCAAATTGCCTCTCTCAAGCTCCTCTTCCCCAGACTAAATAATTTCAGTTCTTCTAACATTTTTGTGTAAAGCACATTTTTTAGATCTCTAATAATTTTTGTTGCTCTCTAATGGGTTCCTTCCTATTTGTCTGTCGGTGGTACTGAACCTTTTGTAACCCAAGGCACCCCTGGATAGACTCAAGGGACACCTCTGAAAAAGCTAGCTCTCATTTTTCTGCAGTCAAAAAAGGGTGAAAGCTAATAGAGCAGGCTTTCTGTTGCAAAGAACTCGGAAAGACCATAACTATGGATTTCTGTTTGAAATCTTCAGGTTTATCTTGTGAATCATATTTGTAAACCTAACCTTGCTAACACTGTGTGGCACCCTGAAGCACCCCTGAAAAGATTGCAAGGCACCACAGGGTACTGTGGCACCCTAGTTGAGGATCAGTAGTCTATGTTTTTCTTGTAATGCAGTGCCCAAAACTGAACATAGTACTCCAGGTGAGTCCTCGCCAGTGCTGAACAGAGGAAAAGTATCACTTCCTTTGACTTGCTGGTTACACTCATGTGTGTCATTATCCAAAAACATCTACTGAACTGGATGCCTCAAGGCATTTAAGCAGAGGAATACTTACAACCCGGATCCTAATCATGGGCTGTTCTCTATATACAAAAACACAGTACTCTAGGCAAATGGAACAGGGAAGCATGTAGTGAGTTCAGGTGACTGTACTTAGACTGATTCCCCTTAACTCCTGCTTTAGGAGTCTAAAAGTCCCTTAGAAGGCCTAGAACCTATACGTAAAATACAGTTCAAAATTGAAAATCAAGAGTACTTTAGGAAACCACCACACCTCTTCTACGCCAAAGGTGATCATATACGTTTGTTGTTGGATTCTGATACATCAGACTGACATTTGATCATAACTGCCAACAGTCATCTATTCTGAATCAGCTGAGTATAGATCATTTATAAAAGCTAATTTGTGTGCTAGGGAATCAAAGCTATTTTGCATGTAATGTATGTCACCTGTCAAAGGAAGTGGATGAAGTTGTCAACACAGGCCTTTGTTATGACTACCTATGCACAGCCTCTTTTCCCCCATCAGTTCCTCTTTGATGGATCCATGCTAAATACTTTGATTACAGGATGCATTAGAAAGGCAGAGGGTGCTCAAGTAGCAATCAAAGTGGGCTCATGGTGTCACAGTAAAACTGTGTGCCCATACTCGCCTGTATTCTTGGATGGCAGATGCCAATACCACATTAGCTTCCTCATAAAAGAGTTTATCTGGGATTTCACAAAGATGCCACTGGTGGAGGTTGCATGTGGGGTGTATCTGAATCAGTCTGTCTCTCAAAACTATCCTACTCCAAGCCATTTTATGGACATTACGGACTGGCTACAGCCCATCTGGGATTGTATTCAACTTTTGCCACTGTATCCTTTCACCCAACTGACTTTCCACTACCACAACCTGGGTTTGTTTGTTTGTACCCTGCCTGGCACAAACAGCACACCATGACATCGTGTTCTATTACTGGACTCCCAAAGGTGAAGAACAAAACCTCTTAATACCAAAATATAGCTTCCTGAGACAAACAAAATTAACCCAGACATAGCCATGACAAAGATCAGGAAGAAGGAAAAATTACTGTAATAACATGAAAGTTACCCATGTAAATGGAAAATACTAGGGCTCTTGTACAAGTGATGGGGGTTTAGTTCTATAAATTGAAATGGTGGGTTTTTAACTGCAACACTTAAAAACTCACCATTTCAATTTAGGGGCTTCCATCACTGTTATAGCAAAGGGCCCAATGCTTTTTTGCTTTTTTTCCCCGTGGCGCCCGCCCACGTCTCCCGCAGCAGGGGGACAAGCTGCTGGTGGGCCAACCAGCTCCTGAGCTATGGGGGGCCCTGGTCCGTGTTGACAGCACCCCCTGGGGTTGCCTGGGTGGGTGCTACCCCAGCTTGGGCAGCACCCACCTGCTAGCCACCTGCCTGGGTGGCCCCAGGGGGCACCGCCGACGTGGAGGGAAGGGCTGGGGCCCCTGCAGCTCAGGGCCCATCAGCAGCTCACCCCACAGCTGCGGGAGAGGCAGGAAGGCAGGGTCTACAGAAAAAAGGAAAGGATTAGGCCCCTCATCGCTTTTTTTGTTTCTTTTTTTCCCAGCACAGCCTGCCTGCACCATCTGCTCCTGGGCTGAGTGGCACCTGAGCTGCAGGGGGGCCTGGTCCTTCCTTCTGCAGTGGCGACAGCCTCCGGGGCCATCCAGGTGGGGTGCTAGCTGTGTGCGTGCTCTCCTAGCTTGCAAGCAGCACCCGCCAGATCAAACTCTTTCCTTAGCCTGCGTGGGGAGCAGTGCCCGGTGGGCTTCCAGTGTGCGGGCTCAGGGAAGAGTTGGATCCACCGGGTGCTGCCTGTGACTGGGGCAGCACCTGTGCAGCTAACACCCCACTTGGGTGGCCCCAGGGAGCACCACTGCCATGGAGGAAAGGACCGGGCCCCACACAGCTCAGGGGCTGCTCGGCCCAGCAGCAGCTCATGTGGACAGGCTCCACCAGGAAAATAAATAAATAAAGAGGCAGTGAGGGGCCCGATCCTTTTTTCCCACCCCCTTGGACCCTGCCCACCTCTTCTGTGGCCAGGGGGGCAAGTTGCCAGTGGGTGCTGAGCTGCGGGGGGCCCTGGTCCTTCCCTCTGCTGGGGTGGCACCCCGGGGCCACCCAGGTGGGTGGCTAGTGGGTGGGTGCTGCCTGAGCATCCATGGAAGAAAGGACCAGGGCACCCCTACAGGTGCACACCTAGGTCATATACTAATCACCTAGAGGGCAGTCCAGCATAACAAACACATTCAAAAGACAAACAAACAAACAAACCAACCAAAAGAACCACACAATGAAAAGTTACCCTATTGTTTCTTGAAAATACTCAGAATGTAACTAACATGCATCATGCATGGCAGAAGAAATACAAATCAATTAGTGAACAATAATGACAAATAGAGAAAGCAGCAAATGGAGGCTCCAAGTGGCAAACCCATCTTTGCAGATATAACAATAGAGGCCTTGCATCAGCATTTTGGACCAAACTGTTCTACTACAGGCAGGAATTACAAATACGTGAGCAATATGATCAATGACCCTGTTGACTCTTAGCATAAGTATGTTGTTGGGGCTGATCTCAAGTGGTGATGCACCTGTTTGACAGTCATATCAGAATGTAATTTTAATAGCAGAAATACTTCAACAGAAGACTAATATTGATTAGTAAAGTACAATCTTATCACTGTGTTTTAAGCATGGATACCAATGCGTGTATTTATGGCCACATTTTATAAGAATGTCTAGCCACTGCACATGCTGCAATATACACGTACAAATAAGGATTATGAAGGCAAAGTGACTGCATGGACAAGTAACCAGTTACATGTCTAGTGAGCAACTTACACAGGCAGTTGGCTCACCATTGTTTCACAGTTACTTCACTTTTATATTTAAAATATACACAGTGCATTATTAAATATATATATTTTTTTCCAGAGCACAGTATTTACACAGGGTAATCCAAATTGATTAATGGAAGAAACCATCATTTTTCCATTACAAACATGAACAATACATATTTTAATTACTTCCCCATAATTTTATTTTCATATTAGATTGCTCAAACACTGGAATAAACTAATTGACAAAATCCACCTTGTATTTCTGAAGATAATCAGATTGGTCTTGAAATCTATTATAAAATAGGGGCAGGGAGGGTGCCAAAAGAAAGAGTTACCTAAAAAGCTGGTCTGTGGCATTCACTGGATACCTTCCTATCTGATAACAGTGATAGCCATGTAGAATCTACCTCATTGATAAAGGCCCCTGGCTCACTGGAATACTTGAATGGTAAGCAAAGTTACCAAGTCATTTCAAACTGGCCAGGAACTAATTAAAATAAGTAATGTATAGGATGAAAAGCTCCATGGATCCATTATCTGAGTTACTGATTCTCATAAAAAACATTAATTTATGCTTTAAAAATGTGAGAACGATTAGACAGACATTGAGTTCTCATATGTTTTTTTCACTCCTTCCTAAAGAGTGAAGCCATATTTGAGAACATCAGAGATTATGCTGGAGTAACTTGAAAGAGGATTTTGGGCATAGTGACAGCTCCTTAATTTAAACAAGGGTGTATTTGGGGTTGGGGGGGGTAACAGAGTCATTACTGACTTTATGCACACTGGCATAAAATAGCAATTCATGTCATTAAAACAGTTACATTTAAAACGAGCATAAGCTGTATCACAGTAGGATACAAAACAGCGAATGTGCAATTAAAGTTGTATATTGCAGTAGCTATGAAGACACCGCTCAGTTTTAGTTTCATATTGGCAAAATAGTGATCCATAACTCATGCCCCGTGGTGTTGTGCTACTCAAGAAGTATCTATCTGAGGGGTGTACAATTATTGGGGCCCAAGGGCCACACAGGCTGTTTTGGTGAGCTGTTGTGGGCTGGGTCACCCCCTCCCCTCCTCTCCTCTCCTCACCCCATGCAATAACTCATCAAAATCCCCTATGTGGGATGAGGCCCCAGGCAGCAGTATTCAGGAGTGGGACGGGCGGGCAAGGCCGGGATCACAGGGTGGGGTTGCGGGGTGGTGATGGCATGGGGCCGGGAGTCATTACTGACTTTATGCACACTGGCATAAAATAGCAATTCATGTCATTAAAACAGTTACATTTAAAACGAGCATAAGCTGTATCACAGTAGGATACAAAACAGCGAATGTGCAATTAAAGTTGTATATTGCAGTAGCTATGAAGACACCGCTCAGTTTTAGTTTCATATTGGCAAAATAGTGATCCATAACTCATGCCCCGTGGTGTTGTGCTACTCAAGAAGTATCTATCTGAGGGGTGTACAATTATTGGGGCCCAAGGGCCACACAGGCTGTTTTGGTGAGCTGTTGTGGGCTGGGTCACCCCCTCCCCTCCTCTCCTCTCCTCACCCCATGCAATAACTCATCAAAATCCCCTATGTGGGATGAGGCCCCAGGCAGCAGTATTCAGGAGTGGGACGGGCGGGCAAGGCCGGGATCACAGGGTGGGGTTGCGGGGTGGTGATGGCATGGGGCCGGGGCTAGATCAGAACCAAGTTGCACAGGTTCCATGAGCAGGGGCATGCAGGGAGTGGATCACAGCTCTGCCCCATCCCAGCCCCATGATCCCAGCCTCAGCCCTGGATGCAGCTCCCCACCCGCCCGCACACCCTGCCCATGCGGCTCCCTGGAGCCGCATGTGGGGCTGGGATCATGGAGTAGTGCCAGTGTGGAGCTGGGGCAAAGCTGGAAGCCACCACTGGGCCTCACTGGCAGGCCGCAGCTGGGGAGAGAGGAAGGCTGTGTGCCTCGCGGAGGAAGCTTGGGAAGGAGGCAGGGGCAGGGAACAGCCATGTGTCACCACTGAGCCCAAGCGAAGGGAAACTTAACTTCCTTCCCTCCTCCCCTCCTCTCCCCTCCCCCAGCCCGGGGTACACAGCCCACAGGCAGTGGAGGGAAGAGGATGGACCCAGCGGCGACTCTACACCCTGCCACTTGGAAGCAGCGGCCAGGACCAGGCTGGGGTTAAAGGAGGTGCTGGGGGATCCCCATCTCATACCAGTCTGCAGCTTGCCTCAGGATGCCTGTGTGGTGGCAGCAGTCCCCAGTTCTCCCATCTCGGTGTGTGGCATAGTGGCATGGGATCAGTGGCAGTGATGGGTGCCCCAGTGAGGGCACTGCATCTGAGGCTGGTTTCTGTGAAGACTGTGTGCTGCTGGATGGGGAGCTTCATCTGGGGCTGCTCGCCATGGAGACTGTGTGTGACTGTGCAGGGAGCTGTGTTCAGGGATGCAGCTCCCCGCCTGGCCGTGTGCGGTCCATGGAGACCAGCCTCCAGCCCCAACTCTGGATGTGGCGCCTTCACTGGAGCTTCCGTGTTGCTCTACTCTGTTCCACACCACTACACCCCACACCAAGCCGGCAGAGCTGGGGGCTGCCACTGCTGTGCACGCATCTCGGGGGAGCTGCAGGATGGCACGGGACAGGGGTGCCCCAACACCGCCCAGCAGGGCTGAAGGACCCACCATGGGCTGGGTAAAAATTGTTCTGTGGACCAGATCCAGTTCATGGGCTGTATTTTCCCATCCCTGATCTATCTTGTTATGCTTTACACTCAAATGATTACAGCAGTATTACTGGTGTAATTCTTCTCAAGTCCTACCAAAGTTGAAGTCGTAAAGGGAAAGTTTGCACCTTCTTATCCTTGTGTCCATTGTAATAGTCCTGCAACTTGCCATTCCTTCCATTTATTCCCTGTACGTGCATAATAAGGTTAGACAAAACTTGCCTAGGATGGTTTAGAGAGGAATGATCCTGCCTCAAAGATAGGGTTGGATTAGATGACCTCTGGTGGTCCAGTCCAGCCCTACTTTCTTATGATTCATAAATTTAAAGATCAAGTTTTAAAAATACACTGAATTACTAAAACCATACTGCAATCTCTACCTTGTTCATTACACAGTAACATACTATCTTAGACTATCTTACCCTATGCCCCAAGGGCAATAAGACTGGAGCATAATAAATCTGAAAATTGTCTGATAATTTATGCTACTAATACCAGTGAATATTCTTAATCACTTTGCAACTGATTAGCTTGGTACCCGAGATGTAAGATAAATGTACACATCTATGCATCTAGAGATGTGCCAGGCACAGGTTCAGTTGCATTATATTTTTTCCACAGAAAATTCTCATTCTTTTTCCAAAGAGAACTTTCACATGCTTCTTCCTTTTTTGTCAGAGCAGCAAGAGGCGCTCTCTCACACAGCTCCTTGATGACTGCCACATCTGTCAGCTTCCCAATGCTCTCATCATTCTCCTCATTCAGCATATCCCAGAAGTCTTTTGGTCGTTCTTTTGCTTTCGATGCAGGCTCTGAAGGGAATCTTCTTGGCAGCTGGGTAGGCCTATTTCCATCACTTTTGAAGAGGTCACTGAGAATAGAGGTGTCTCCCAGTAAGTCTACAAAAGAGTTTTTCTTGCAGAAGAGTTTCTCACCGTTTTCTGACTGAGACAGGGATCTTTTTCTCGGAGACACTGTCCCCTCTGAGTCTTGCTGTCTGCAAGTGGCATTTGCAGACAGCACCTCAATTATTTCTGATTTACTGCTTAATGAGCCAGATGCCATAAAATCTTTGAATGCCCGACTGTTTCTGCCACTGATGCTATCTTGGGTAATGACAGTGGGCAATTGTTTATACTCGGCATTAAGACACACACCATCTTGTATGCAGGAGTTATTGTGAACTTGCTCTGTTTCTACTTTATGTCTTTTTTGGCTACATATTTCTGTAGTTTCATGGGGAGGATCTTCAACTGCTGAAGCACTAGACCGTGATTTCCTAAATTTAATAGGGGACTTTCTCTTTCTGGAATGAGCTGAACACATCTCATCTTCCTCACATCTATCTGAAACACACGCTGGAACCTCAATTGTAAAAATGTTCTCTAACTCTGGGTACTTTGCTGCATAAAAATCTTTCAACATTTTCTGTCGTATTTCTGATGTTGCTTTTGCAATGTGTTCTGCAAGTTCTTCCACTGAAGCCATATTGAAGTAGGAGACCATTTCCTCAAATTGTTTCCTGCAGCCATCAATAAATAAATTTAAAAAATGTTAATTTGCCATCTTTAAATTTACAAAAAACCAAACCCCACTAAAAGTATAAAATAAAAATCGGTTCACTTAGGTTATTTACATATCACAACTTTAGTGGACATCATGTATTTTACAATCATGTATTTAGACAAATATGATGTAGAGGCAGGATTTTTCAAAAGGGACATTCACACTTCACTTGCATTGGATTTTACATTAAAAAGCCCCATGATATGATGTATGAACACTCCTGGCAGTAGAAACCAGAATCCAAGTCTCCTCCCTCCCATATAACTGCCTGGCCACTGAACTAGTCATTTCACTGGCCCTATGCTCCTAAGTCACTTTTGAAAGCGTTATCCTCATACAATAAATGGAATGCTGTATCCGTGACAACCCAACTTCTGCATTTAACCTTTCGTCATGAAGCTGTTTGCCCTTTAAATGTTTTGTGTTTTCATTGTTTATAACAATAATTAGGCTTAGCTTGAGTATTTCCTGACAATAACCTTCTGATTAACCTCCTGACAGATTCTGAACATGGACTGATACGTGTTTTACTATGACAGGACCCTAGCTCTGATGTCCAGTGTAATAAAAAACCCATCTACATGAACCTCGGTCTGGCTTAGGACCATATAGATCAATCTAAAATACTTCACACCATCTGATTAAGCAGAACCTATGCTATACATTTTCTGTAGGCCTGATCTTTGGAGTTGTCTATTCTGCATGCTTGAAACTGGCTTAACTCCTTCCTCAATGTATAAAACAGCCATTAGTGTAGGCTTCTGGGCTTACACAGCCTTTATCTTTTAGAACAGAAATCAAGATTTGATGCTAAGAATCTTTGGGGAGTTCTCAGGGCTCTTTAAATAAAAGATGCAGCTGATAAGGAGTCGGTCACTGGACTAAACAGAACCTACCACAATGTCTATTTTGCAATGAGCTCTTTTTAAAGCAAGTGTTTTCATTTTTAATATTTCAGTCAATCTGGGAGAAGAAAGTGGGATAGAAGTGTTGTTGGGTACTGATAATGATTTACAGTACATAGTTTCATAGTGCTTAGGGTCAGAAGGGACCTAAACTGTCCAACAGGTCTGCCCCCCTGCCACGGGCAGGAATGGGTGCTGCAGTAGTATCACCCCAGTCAAATATCTGTCCAGCCTTCTCTTGAAGACCCCCAAGGCAGGAGAGAGTACCACCTCACTTGGGAGCCCATTCCAGAGCCTGGCAGCCCTAACTGTAAAGTAATGTCCCCTGATGTCCAGCCTGAACCTTCTCTCTAACAATTTGTGGCCATTATTCCTAGTAACCCCGGGTGGTGCCAAGGGGAATAGAGCCTGCCCCAATTCTCGCTGGCCACCCCCCCAGTGAGTTTGTAAACAGCCACCAGTCACCAGATCCCCTCTCTGCCTTCTCTTGTGGAGGCTGAATAGGTTCAGGCCCTTTAGCCTCTCCTCATAGGGCCTGCCCCACTGCCCCTTGACCATGCAAATGGCCCTCCTCTGAACCCTCTCAATGCTAGCCACATCCCTCCTGAAGTGCGGCGCCCAAAACTGGACGCAGTAATCCAACTGTGGCCTGACCAGTGATGCATAGAGGAGAAGGATCACCTCCCTGGACCTGCTTGTGATGTGTATTAAAAGACTACCATCATTATTTTACAGAAATCCCAATCCCATAGGAAAGAGAACTAATAATAGATAATTATAATTCAGTAAAATTTCCTGATTCACAATGGTGATAAGTGCAAGGTAAAGCCTATGTCCAACTCTACTCCAGAAAACTAAAGGTGACACTCAATGACTGGCAATCCATTTAAGAAGCCTAAACATGAAGAGGGACCTAAGCTAGGACCCTCATCTCACCAAATGTGTGTTTTTTACTAATTTCAGAATTACAAAAAGGAAAACATGTTAAACTGAGTAATTCATCCTAAACTGCTACCTGATCCAATGGAGAATTTGGATGAAAGATCTTATCAAAAGAGAACATCCATAGAGCCAAACAAAAACAACTACAAAAATACTTATTTTAAGTACATGGTAAAGTTTCAGTACACACTGGGTACATCTACATGAGACTATGTTGCTGCAGCTCATCGCAACAGTGATGTACCGTTGGCAGACACAAACTGTGATGCCTACACTACTGCACAGCAGCGCAACTGCTACTGCACAGTAGGGTTGGAAACAACCCATGTGCCACCAGGACTGTGAGGTAGGAAACTGCTTTAGTAAGTACTAAATGACTGTGCGGTAACAACTGCACAGTTGGGTGCATATGTAGATGCACCCACTGAATGTCAAGACCTAAAACTTCTTGTTTAGACATCCTTTTAAAAATAAAGTTAAATCAGAACACTGTGAATACATCCCCCCTCTCAGGACTGCTGGGAGATTATCCATTTCAGGTAGGGTGCAGATAACTTTAAAGACCGCTCTTTTTTTTTTTGGTCAATGCTACTCTCAACTGACTTTGAAGCAAAAACCTTAAGGTGAAAATTCTGTTAGTCAACTTCTGACACCTTAGCCACTCAGGGTAGAATTCAATTTCCTTTTGCATGTCTTACTGACAGTTTTCTAGCTAACTGGCCGTCTCTGGCCCCTGTCTTGTACTTTGGATACATAAGCACAGTTCTCTGCAGATAAACTATACACGCAGACTAGGGACAGACATTACACATAAACCGCCTTAAGTGATCAGAAACTGGTTTAAACCTGTAACAGAACAGATGTTCAGTGCACATAAACCAGTTTGAAAATGGCTGAAACTGGTTTGAGATAAACCTGGTTGAATGTAGTATCAGAGTTAACTGATTTGGCTCAAACCAGTTTATGCAATGTCTGCCCCAGACCCCTTGCTGGTTTAAGATAAAAGACACCCCCAGCACCCAACATGCTCTCTGGGGTAGGCAGGGCTTTCTGTTCCACATCAGGGCTGGCCCCTCCCCTCTGCATCTGCCTAGTTTCTCCATGCTAAAAAGGGATTATTCTCCCTGCCCCTCTGCTTTAGCAGACACTTCCGGATTAGCTAGCAGACCACATGCTGGCTATAGTCTATGCTGTGGGAGAGACAAAGGCAGACTGGCTTTTTGGAGCTAATCAACAGGTAGCTTAATGTCCTTCCTTGGAAACGTTTGAAAAGAGCTGTTTGCTCCCCTCCCTCCCCCTCACCACTCTCTGTTAAGCAAAAATTTCCCCCTCCCCTCTGCCTTTGCCAAGGTGGCTATGTATTAGCCAGCAGACCACATACTGGGTCTGTGCTGAATCAACAGCACAGCTGGTAATGTCTCTCTGTTGTTTTCTTAATGGGGCAATAAACAATGAGATAAGAGCGATAAACACTGTTATCAGCTCCCCCCTCCCTCCCCCCCCACACCAACTTGCTTGCCTGTCAGTTTGCTGCAGACAGTATACAGAAGCAGGGAGGGAGAGTGAACAGCTCTGTATCATCAAGAAATGCATGTACTGCACCCCTGCCCCCCACCCTTGCCTCAGAGTGCTAGCCTAGGGCTGCAGGCTGGCAACACCCCCACTCTTTGAGCAGCGAGTGGGGAAAAGCCTGGGACTGCAGGCATGGAGGGGGCTCATACCCTACCCTAATCAGAGCCCTGCTGGGGCCTGTCCACACCCCCCTCAGTTTAGCTCTGTGGAAGGGCAGGGAGGGCTGCTCTAGTGCTCCCTGGCTTCCAGCCTGAGCTATTGCAGGCATGTGTCTGAATTTCCTCAGTCCAGGGGGATTGTCTGTATGGTTGGAAACCAGTTCAGCCTAGCCAGGTTAGACTAACCTGCAGCGGTTGAATCAATTCAGGCTCAGGCTTTTTGAATGTCTGTCCCTGGCCATAGTGTATATAGATGCATACATGTGGAAGTACCCAAAAAAAAATGAAGGGGGGGGGTCATGGAGGTGGAGAAGGACCCTCCCATGTACAGCTTCTAGAAGCTGAAGGGTTAGGACACTCATGCAGAAGTGGGAGACTTGGGTTCTAGACCTTTGTCACCCACAGGGAGTTTGAACCTCTGTCTCAGAGGGCAGAAACAAATGGTGGCACAAACATCTATACCCTTTGTTGCACCACATCAGTGGCTATGACAAAAAGTAGTGTAAGAAGTGTTCCTTTGTTGAGGTGGTCATCTATTTGATTGTGGGAGGAGTGCAGGCAGCCTGCAGCTGCCCACACTCTTCAGCCACCCAGGAGGGACAGGTGTTCAGGGGGTTTGAGGGACCTAATCCTGCTCAGCCCAGGAATTCCCACACAGGATTGAGCCTCTCAGGCCCTGGAGCACCTGCCTGGCATTCCCTGCTTGCAGATGCAGAGAGCTGAGGGCAGCTGTGGGTCCAGGACACAGCCACCCCCTGCCTGATCTACAGGATTTGGCTGGAACCAGTTCCACAGTGGTGTGATTGGGATGGAGGAATTTTGTGACCTACCCTAAATATGCTTTGCATGTCCCTCCGATCCCAACTGCATCATCGTTTTAATATCTGTCAGTGTCTCTCAAGTATTGGTCTTCTATCAGAAATGAACTCCTAAAGTTTTTTTTCATTAATACAGTTAAATTTCAGTCTATTTCTGGTACTGCAGCACTTTAACACCTGATAGCCAGTCCTTCTACAAATCTCACTGCCAGAGGCGTGCAATCATTTTTTATACTCTCTACCCTATTTACTATTTCATCTTTAGAATGTTCCTCAGGCTCTGTATACTGTAAAAGCTGCTATGCTAATTTCCTTAAGTCAGGCCTGGAAAATCATACAAATAAAACAGAACTGATTCAATACTGATACTGCAGTATGATTCTAGGCAAGTGCAAAAATAAAGCCCGAGTGCCATCATTCTGAATAATCATTAAAACCAAGGCATTGGAAGCACTTCACGTGCTTTTGAAGTGCTTCAAAGAACAAGTGGACAGACACGCATGCCATCTGAAGGGCTCCAAAAATGACTCTGACTCAAACAGCATCCATTAGAAAGCACTTCCAAATGATTCTCTGCATACCTCACAGGGACTGAAGTACTCTGGCAGGGGTTGTATATCTGTCTGTGGCTGCAGCGTTTCAACATGGAGTAGAATTTGAAGTGCTTGAAATGTTACATGTCTAGGACCTAAGGTCACTTCAGTAGCTATTCACATTGAAGTTAAGAGTTCCATGACATTTCAAAGAATGGCTAAGTTTATCAGTAAGCTAGGCTTATCATTACACCTCAGTAAAAAAAAAAACCAACAAAACACACTCACACACTATACAACACTTCTAATGCACTAAACTGTGCGAGTCTCATAGCTGAGCTTCTGGCTACCCATATATAACTTGTTGCCATTCAAATCACTTTGGGATACCTTTAAAAGGTTCAGATCTACAGACATTTAAAATGTACATAATCAAACACTGATTGCACCAGATTGTGCCTCTAGTCCCAAACATACCGCTGTTCAGTTTTAACTAGAGATTTCCTGCAAAATTCAACTGGCTTAGTAATAAAGGCCTATATGCAAACAAGAGGCCTGTTTTTATCCCTGGCATTCTCCATGTTAGGCCTCTATTACATCAAAGCTTAGCAGTTTCTGCATTTAGCTGCAGCATCTCAAATATCCTGTCTACAAACACCTGCTCTCTTCCTGAGGATTATTCACTTTAAACTCATTAGAATGCTCAGTCACAGAATTCAAGAGCTTGTTAAAATACAGGGGCTAACAAGAGGCTCCCGCTCTCATTTCACATGAAATAAGATTATTTTATTAATCATGTCTGAAACCATGTAAGGCAGAGGTTCTCAAACTGTGGTCCACGGACCACCACAGTTCCGCAAGCTCCATTCAGGTGGTCTGCAGAAAGGTTGCGGAACAATCGAGAATAACTGTACTTGTACGGTAAGACTACTGATATTAAAGTATGAGCTGTGTGCTTTGATTTGTAGAACAAAAAAAGTTTATTAAGTGGTCTGCTGAGACCCTCAGCAATTTTCAAGTGGTCTGTGGGAAAAAAAGTTTCAGAACCACTGATGTAAGGCTTTGAAATTAGTTTTTAAGAGTATAAATAGTTCAGGGCTACGAAGGCTTGACACTGACATCTTATTTTACCCCACATATGGTACTACTATCTAGGAAGATTAAAAAAAAAGCTTCCTTTTTCTTGACAAAACAAGTGACCTAAACCATAATATGACAATTCTCTCCTTTGGATAGAAAACTGTTATAAGCTGTTCTCTAAAGATGCTCAGTATTTTCCTGCTAGCCTATGTAAAGTGAAATTTTAGCTCCTGATATTTCATTTTTGCCCTCTAAAAAGCATTTTGCCATGATTAACAATCTACACAGTACACAAAGTACCCAATTAATCCTTTTAGAGAAGAAAAGGATTAAAAATGCTGTCTTAAATGTATATTTTAACTTTCAAGTGCTATATATACAGCACTTTTTCCATGTAACTTAAACTTACCTGATAGTTAAGTTATATTAAAAATCAACAGTACAAAGCTACAGAATAGATAAGCAAATTGAACTGGCTCAGTTTCAAGCTATTCTGGAAAGATCTTATAGTAATTTATGCCAACATTCCAATATCAGATCAGCACAACATTTATTTTAACCACAACACAGATAATTTACCCAGTTGTTAATGTGGATCGTGATCCAGTCTGCTTTTGTTCAAAAAGAACTTACTGCCAGCACTTTAAATATCCAAAGCCATGCATCTGTTTATACATATGCCTCTATGCATAGACCTTTCACCTTTCCAAATGTCAACTCTCCAGATTTCAGTGTTTGTAGAATTTTACTGCATGACTTCCTTCAAGTAGAAGGCAGCAGGATTGTTATGTCCCCCTCCATTTAGTAACACTATTTGGTATTAGTGTTATTTTTTTAAAAGCCTGCATGGGCTTGCTTCAGCTGATTTCACAAAGTCACTCTCTCAGCATCTTGACTGGCTAGAAAAAGTTTCTTCATTTCTGTGCCTGTGTAATACCTAACTATTGTAAAAGAACTTTCTCTTCTGCTGTTCTCGTCACCTGGAACAATGTACCACTATCTCTAGACTACTGGAATTTAAATGCTTCTATTGTTGTAACAACCAGTAGTGAAAAACAGGGAGCAAGAAAGAATAGGTAAGTTGGTCTTTTTTTCCACAGCCTGGAGAAAAAGCAGTAGAGAGGCAGTATGTTTTAGAAAATAATGAGCCCTACACTCAAAAAACAGTTGAGTTTTCTCTACAGTCTTTCAGCTGTAAGTGATGAGATCTGGGTAGTACCAGTAGCCAATCTAAAGTTCAACCTGTAACATTTCTCATTTTTATACAGTTTAATACTAGCTTGTAGTTTTGTGTAGAGCACACATACACCAAGAATCCTGGTGTGATAACATCTGCGTAGCTATGTAAAACATGTCATACTGATTCAACATGCTGAAACAATTTGTGGGTTCATTTAAGTTCATTAATCAATTCTAATACTCTGTGTATAGTGTGAGCTAAATTCTTCTCTTGTCATAGAAAGCCACCAGTGTTTCATGATTATGCCTAAATTTTATGACAAAAGGAAAAATTAATTTAACTGCCTGAAGAAAAACTCTTTGAAACCTGAGGATTCTGACTTCAGTCTTGCCACTCCTTCCCCGCCCCCCCCAGCAACTCACCTGCGGATTCCTGTAGGGGTCTTTCCAATCAAGAAGGTGGTTGAACCTACTCTGTGTACCTTTTTCTTTTTCTGAATGATGGGATGTGTAATACAGAGGTGAAACTGCTTGCCAGCCCTCTGTTGCCCTCTCTGCTGCCATCTCTCAGTGCTCTTCTTCACCGATGCGGCTTCTTTTGGATTTTCTTCTGGGCTTTCTTCATCTTTCTAACAAAAACACAAGACAGAAAAACACCAAAACCTTCTTTTCTATTTCAAAGAACAGATTTACTCTGTTTTCTTCCATAATGTGCCTCTGAATATGTTACACACCTTGTTTCTGAAAGGCAGAATGAAGGAAATAAAAGATCTTTCTTTGAAAATACTGGCCAGGAGCTGTAAGTAACTGAGTAGCAGCTTCTGCAGAATGAGCTTCTGTTTGGGGAGGACAGGGCAGGCGGTGAGAGTAAGTGTCCAGCATGCCCCTTGTGCTGCTCCCTGAGCAGCATTACTTATGCTTTCCCCTAGCAGAGGCAAAAATGACTATTACCATATTCCCTTGCTTATACTGCACACCCCCAATTCCAGCAGCCAAATTATGAAAAAAAAGGTGCACTTCTATATCACCCTAGTCATGGTTCAGCGATTAATGCAGTCACTGGGGACTCAAGAGACCACAGATCAATTCCCCATTTTGTCATAAAACTTCGTGTGAAATTCTCAACAAGTCAGTTTATCTTTCTGTGCCTCCTGTCCCCATCCTTAAAACAGGGAAAACACGGGAATTGTGGCATACATTATTTAAAAGATTGTGAGGTTCTCAGATACTACAGGATTAGGGCCCAAATACCTTAGCCTAGCACTATAGGGCTCCCTAAACTCAGTTACACCATCCAGACCATAGAGCAATGTAAAAACAAAATATTCCACATATGAATAGGTTATTGTCTCAATAAATACATCACTCCTTTCTTGCCTCATTTAGCACACTTACACAAACCATCTGTATTCACACTTAGTTTCTACTTAGTAGTGCATTTGTGTTCTCTATGTTACATGCCCCCCATACCTTATGCAAAATTCTCAATTACTTTAGACCAAAAAGCAAGAAAACTTTTCACATAAACAGTTTATGAAGTGCAGATGCTTGATATATAATATTTCATTCCCCCCCATCATCTTCTGTGAACACTGCTTTCAGTTGAAGTTTTAAAAAACCGCACTCACAGGCTGCATCCAGACGAGCACAAACGTTTGGTTCCAGAGGGACAACTTGCTGCAGGACACCTTGTGCTGCTGCTAGTTGTCCCTGGGGAACGCCCATGCCACGTGCCCTGTGGTGCACGGCAGGTTACCTCGGATGGGGCAGGAGAGGCTGGGGCCAGCAACTGTGCTGGCCCCAACAGCCTTACCTGACGTCCTAGGGGCCAGGGAACCTGCATCCATGTCGCTTCTGTAGCTTGAAGACTGGCCAGCAGCTGGAGTGTGGCTCCAGCCAGCCAGGCTCTGGTTTTGGGTGGTGCACATGTGCTGCCCCGCTTTTTTTCCGTGTGGGTTTTTTGGCCTATATCTCCAGTTGTCATAACCCCCCTCCTCCCCCAACTCCATGCTGCAAGGTTGCAGCCCAGGAAATGCCTGAATGTGCAGTATGTGGCATTGCAGACCCACCTGAGCCAAACAAGACCACTTCAATTTTATAATTGTTATTATATTCTACAGGTGACATCCAATAGATAAAAAAGGAAGTGTAGGTTGTAGCCGTGTCTAAGGACATAGGCAAACAAGGTCCTTTGGGTGAATCTTTTTTGGGTGAATTTTTTCCAACTATTTAAGTTCGTCTAATACAGGGGTGGGCAATTATTTTGGGTGGATGGCTGCTTACTGAGTTTTGTCAAGCCATCAAGGGCCACATGACAGGCAGCCTTGGGTAGATAAATATTAATTTTCAAAATTTTTTAGGGGCCCCGCAGGCTGGATAGAATGGCCTGGCGGGCCGCATCTGGCCCATGGGCTGCATTTTGTCCCCCCACCAATGTCTAATAAAAGATATCAGATTCACTCAAAGAACCTTGACTGCTAAAGGAAGCAACTCAAAAATATAAAAAAATTAAGGCTCATAGTTCAGCCGTAATCCTGCTATCTTGCTTCCATATTTTGATAGCTTTATGTGAACAAATACTATTACTAATAGGACACTTCCCAACAACCTTAATGCATACCTGAAAGGGAATAATAATAAGGCTGCACGTTAAATATTATGTTAACAGAGATCATATTAAAGAAGAGTTCGTGTACAAAGTGGTCTGATACTTATGGACATGAGATTAAGTAAGGTTATAACTGAAATAATCACTCAACATTTTAGTTGATCTACAACAATATATTTTGTAAATTTAACTAATTATGCATCAGCACAGCCAATTTCCTAAACAGATACTTTCACTCTATTTAGATGTTTAAGCTACTCCGTCCTCCAGCATAGTACAGGGGGAAGGGAAGAGCAAGGGAGGAAGTGGTGAAACCTTGTCAGGGGCTCCAGCCTGTTTGGGAGGAGGCAGCTGCAGAAGACTCTAGGAGACTCCAGGAGCGAGGAGCCCCCAGCCCTGACTGCTGCAGACACACAGAGAGAGGCGGCTCCAGTCATGTCTGAAAGCAAACCTGCAGATGAGCACCCACTCATTGTGGAGGCCCACAATGCCCCTCTGCAATGCAGGAGCCGCAGCTCCTCGCTGCCCCGCTCCCTCCGCAATGCGTTGCAGCTGCTGCCCAGTCTAGAGGCTCTGTGTGGCGGTCCTGGCCAGGGGCAGACCTCTCCCCACCTCGCTTCATGGCACCAGCTTCTCCCCTTCCTGCTGCTTAGAGCACACACAAATCACATTTTTTGTGAAAATCACTTAATTTCGTGATTTTCAAGAAAAATGTGAAATCGCAATTTACACCAGGCCCTTCTAATGAGATTCGCAGATTAAAACTTATTAGCAAATATTATACATTTTATTCTTAAAATAATATTTTATACGCATCTTACTCAATTTGTTAATTAAGAAAGATTGTTTCTCTATTATATATGGGTATAATAGAATTTTACCTTACAAATTAGTAAGCAAATGTTAATAGAAACGAGAATGATGGCTTATTTTGATGGGCTGCATTCTGAAATATCTGTAGCATAAGACTGCACTGTGATAATGACTTGTATTGGCTGTATTTTGTCTCAGGGAACCAGGCATCATAAAAAACTTTCATCATTTAACTAGTGTTACCCTAGATAGTGTAGAGCAATGAGGGCCAATCTTTTTGGCAGGACTACCAGAAACTACTCTCCTACTCTCCAATTCAGTGCCCTTTTCCTGCCCTATTTGCCACTGTTCTGCATTCCCCCACTCCCAATTTGCTGTTTGCCATGTACACAGGCTACCCATACCATTTGTGGCACTCATGCCAAAGGTTGGCCACCATTGGTGTACAGCATGTTAGTGTTTTCCCTAAAAGTATTTAAAAAACAATGAAAGTCCAGCCATTCACCTCTTTCTTTAAAAACACTGAAGTATGAGACAGCAATGCTTTGGTTTACACATCTGTTTAAACATAAAAGATTAAAAACCGTTGGGTTTTTTTTGGTTTTGGGACAAAGCCAAATGTTGTAAACGTACTGAGAGTCATAAACTTGCTTGTCTTTGCAAAGAACCAGAATTACTGTAAAAACATACTGCTCATTGTAAATAAACTCTTAGAAATGGCATCTATAATTCTGAGAGGACAAAGACTTCTAAGTGTGTTTACAGAAGTTTGTTAACAAACTCTTTTTTTTGCCCATATTAACTGGTTTAGAGCTTATGTTTGGAAATAGGAAAACTACTATAAACAGAATGTCCCCAAAGAGCTAACTCTAGTGAAAGCCTAAGGCAGTGGTTCGAAACCTTTTTAGACTCGAGGCACCCCTTGATGGAGCCAAGGCACCCCTCAGCAGACTCAAAGAACCCCTTGGAAAAAGGCATGCTCTTAGTTTTCATTTGATTTTTTACTACAAATAGATAATAGAGAAGTTTCTTCTGTCACAAAGTCAAATAGACCATAACAGGCTAGAATGCTTTTAGCATTATAGATTCCTATTGGAAATTTCTGTGTTTGTCTTATGAATCATGTTTGCACACTTAAGAGTGATAACACTGCATGGCACCCCTGAAAGGCTCTCAAATCACTCCAGGCCTAAGGCACTACCGAAAGAAATGATGCATTATCTTTGACACACACAATTCAGATTTATGGAAAAAAAAGTCAATTGGTTAAAAAAACCACTACAGCTTACACTTACGCACAACTACTGGTATACTTTGAACATTTTCACAAAATATAAACTTTGTCAAACTAATCCAAGCACAAACTCAAACGTCTAAGAACTTTCAAAAAATTACCAGCATGGGAACTTTGCGCAAGAACAGAGGTTTAGAGCAGCTTTCCTTGATATTTCCCTCCATGTTCTCTTAAGAATTGGACCAAAGTCTGTTGACCTGAATGAAGCTTTGACTAGGGTCTAAAATAAAAAGTAGTTCTAAAGGTAGTTCTACATAGAGGTAAGTAAAACAAACAAACAAACAAACAAACAAAAAAACTCCATGCATCATTTCACTGAATTCTAAAAATTCTCTGACTATTTTTTACTTTCATGAATCATTTTTTCATACAGTTAAAGGATTGCAGTTAAAGTAACTGAAAACCTACTGGAACATTTTGAACAAAGTATAACTTCACTCACATGCCCACAGAGCAGTTTTTTCAACCACTTACGTGGCATTTTTGACACTTATACGCAGTTTACAATCCTACTGAGTAAGTGCAGGAGGTTATGCAATGACTAGGCAGGGTCCATATGTGCTTATACTGGGCAAGCCCTAGTCACAAAATTCTACTCAGCAGTAGTCCAACAACAGGATTTAACCCAAACAACTAAGCAATTAAGGTTAACTCTTTTTCTTAGGATTAGGATTTCAACCACTACCTAGATATAAAATAATGTAGTAATCCATTTTCTCCCAATGTATTTTTAAAGACATATTTAGAATTTTTAAACTCAGATGTTAGTGAGCGACATATGCTGAAATGCAACCCATGACATAATATGGAAACACCCCAACCCTTCAAATTTTCGCCAATCATTATATCTTCATAAAGAGAGATGATACTTCTATGTTAAATTTCAAACCCGAAGGACTATATATCACATTTTC